CAAGTCAAGGTTTAGTACAAGGGCCTCCTCATTCGCCTTAGATTCAAAGCTTTCCTTTCGGTAAGAGGGTTCACCGATCTCAACGGGGACAACAGCTTCTGAACCAAAGGCGAGGGAAAAAGGGGTTTCCCCAGTTGACGTTAGGAAGGATGTCCGGATGGCCCATAATTCTTCAGGAAGCTTTTCCGGCCAGGCGCCCCTGGCATTTTTAAGCTGCCATTTTAGTAGTTTCTTGATGATCTTATTTATTGCTTATACTTGGCCGTTTAATTGGGGGTGAGCTGGCGAAGTGAAAAATAGATTGATTTTGAGGCGAGTACCAAATTAGCCAAGTGCCCTTGGCATTGTCAAGCTGCCTGAAGAGTTCTGAATCAAATTGCCTGCTGTTATCGGTGATAATAGCATAAGGAATACCAAATCGACAGCAAATGTGAGTCTAGACAAAATCTTCTATCCTGGCTGCTGTAATAGTTGCTAAAGCTTTGGCTTCAACCCATTTGGTGAAGTAATCTACGGCAACAATAGCATACTCGACCTGGCCTTTCCCTTGTGGTACTGGGCTTATGATTGGCGTCAACGGTTCGGCAGGGATATGGGGTATGTTGCCGAATCGTTGGCATTTGTCACACTTCCTCACTAGTTTATGTGCGTCCTTGTCGGAAGGCTTTGTGTGCCAATGATCGGGAACCTGCATGATCGCCATAGACCCCACTATGGATTTCCCGAAGGACGTAGTCCCCCTGTTCAGTAGTGATGCATTTCAGATATGGAGTGGTGTAGCCGCATTTGTAAAGGACATAATTGATTACTGCATATCTTGCCAATCGGTAACGTAGCTTCCGTGCCTGGCACTTGTCGTTAGGTAGCGTACCATTCGTTAAGTAAGCATAAATCGGGGATATCCACATGTCTTCATACTGTAAGGAGCATACTTTGGAAGTTGCTGTGCTTGTCTTGGATAGGATCTCCACCAGCACCCTTCTGCAAACCTTGTCATTGATGGCCGAGGCTAACCTGGCCAAGGCATCAGCATGACTGTTTTCTATCCTGGGTATCTGTTGAATCAGGTAAGCTTGGAATTTTTGAAGGAGTTGGTGTGTGGTCGACAGATAGGTTAACATGGAGCGTCTTTAGTTGCAAAGTCTGCCATTATTTGATTCACGATAAGTTGGGAGTCAGTGTAAATGATGATTTGTCTTGCGCCGATTCTTTTGGCTAGCCAAAGGCCAGCCAAAAGAGCTTCATATTCTGCTTTGTTGTTGGAGGTTCTGAAGTTGAATCGGAGGGTGTATTCAACCTTGACTTTATCTGGCGTAATCAACACTAAACCGGCTCCATACCCATGCTGATTTGCCGAACCATCGACATGCAGAATCCATACGGGCATTGAAGGGTCGAAGTATTTGGCTTCAGCTCACCATGGTTTTCGGCATCAGCACGTGAATTTGCGGTCTCGGGTGTTACCGAAGGTGTAAGTTTCGGAGATGAAGTCAGCGATGGCCTGACCCTTCTCCGCTAGTCTTGGCTTGAATTGTATGTCAAAACTCTCCAAGCTCAATCGCCCACTTGACCAATCAGCCGGATGTTTCTGGTTTCTGGAGTACCTGCCGAAGCGGTTAGTTGGTTAAGACTGTGATTTCATGTGCTTGGAAGCACGGACGGAATTTTCGGGCTGAGACAACGAGAGCTAGGGCCAGTTGTTCTAGGGGAGGGTACCGAAGCTCTGTACTTTGCAGTGCTTTACTGACATAAAGATCAGCAGCTCCGCATTCTTTGGTTTGAGTATTAATACTGAGCTAATGGTAGTGCTAGATACTGAAAGGTAAAGAAACAGAAGTTCTTGTATCGATAAGCACCCGTCCAACATCGAAGTTGACGATTTATGCTCTTATGATCATCGAGTCGTCATGGGGATAGAAGATCTTTTCTTTTTCTTCCTCGCTGAACGTGATGGGTTTCCACCTAACCCTCGGTGTTTTATGATGCCGGTTGACCTCTATGCCGAAGACCTGAGGGTATTGCACGGCTCGAATGTACTGCTTCCTCGATCAGTTGGATATACCAGGAAGAGTGGGACCTCCACTAATGGTGCTGATCATATTAATCTGCCGATTTACATTCGAACTTGGCGCTTGTGGTGGTTTAGCAATGTACTGGTCTAGTTTTCCCTCCTGAATCAAACGCTCGATGATTTTCCTTAGGCTTATGCACTCTTCGGTATTATGGCTGTTATGCTGATGGTATCGATATAACTTCCTAATATCCCGATTGTCCTTCCGATTTGGTTTTCGGTCAACCGGTTTGGGTATTAACTCTTGCTCGTTCATCAGAACGACTTCATAGGTAGTATTTAGCAAGCTGAAAACTTCTTGATTGCGGTCATGATTCGGTAAGGGCGCTCAGTGGTTGTTGCGATAGTACCTCCCCTTTCCCTTCTTCGGGTGTCCTTGCCGAGCGTCAGAATTATCTTTTCATTTTTGGCTTGCAGGGTACCCATCAGTCCTTTCAATAGGGGCGTAGGGTTGCCCCTGTGTCTAATAATTCTTTAATGCCGGTTCCTCCTGCTTAGCCGAAGGCCCAGATTTTGAGTTGAAGTATTCGGCTTTTGCGTGGATTGCTGCTTGCTTCATCAATTCATCGTAGGTGCGGCAGTTGCTACTGTGCACCAGGTACCGAAAGTGTGAGGACTGAAGGCCACTCTTGAAGGCGCTGTAGGCTGCCCTGTTTCTGGACACCTTGAGTACTCATGATTGAAGCGCGCAACGTATTCCCTTAAAGGCTTGTCTTCCCTTTGCCAAATGGTGTATAAATAATCGACAGAATATAGAAGGTATGTCTGGATCATGAAGTGATTGAGAAAAATCTGTTTCAACTCGTCGGTAGAACCAATTTAAGGCCGCTCCGATAAGCGCAGATAGGAACAGCAGGCATTGCCCCTCGTCGCTGAGACCTTTACATCCCACGGTAGACTGGAAAGAGGGAAGATGTGTCAAGGGGTCTTCTACCTCGGTGTAGAACGGTATGCAAAGAGGCTGCACATCCCTGTCTTGCCTGGAATGCCTGATGTGTCGGTGAATGGTCCTGGTCAAAGCTTTCCCTAATTGGGCTTCTGAGAGCGGGTTCGGTCATTTTCCATCTTTTGAACTTTTTGAAAGAGAAGTCAGATGACATGATCTCGGTTAGGAATCTCTTCGGAACCATAGTCCTCCGAATGTCTCGGTGGACTAAATAGCTTGGCCTCAGAGTATCGTGTAGGTGTTGCCGAATGATAGGTTGACCCTTGGGTCTTGGCGGGGACTTACTCGTGGTCTGACTCAGCCGTGGATTCTAGTCCTCGTACCTTCCGAATGGTTGATTTGTTCCTGAGAACCCTCATTTGTGACTCCATTAGATGCGCATTGATCCTGATCAGAAATCTCTGTTTTTCGACTTCCCTGTCGTTAAGCCGATGGCGACAATTGGTGTAGACCTTCTTTGGTAGATGGGGTTGGTCTCTGGGAGCCAGGACTACTAGCTGTTTGGAGGGTGTAGACGTTGCCCTTGCCTCCTTCTTGCTTTTCTTCTGCCGACTCGAAGTCTGCAGGCTCTCAGGGGATTGAGTGGGTTGGATGTTCTGTGTATGCTGCTGATTGAGTAATTGCTGGGTTTCGTCCACTTTAGACGAGATTAGGTTATTATATTCTTGTAGTATAGCCATATCCTGCCGAAGAGAAGTGATTTAGGCCAGAAGTTCGGCTTTGGCTGTTGTTTACATTATGGGCGAATTGCCGAAGGGGGTGCAAAGGGGTAGCGTTGGGCTAGCTCCACTCTGCCTTTCGCACGACAATCCTTCCTCGGGCAGAAATACAAGCACTGAAGTGGTCCCCATGTGTTTTTAGGGATAATGGGTCGACTCAAGTCGTTTCCCACAGACGGCGCCAAACTGTTGATGCAAAATAGTGGTTCAGTACTTTTAGGCTCAGCTTAGTGATGTCTGGGCCTTCGGAGTGCTTAGTCTTCGATAGGGCGTGATCTTGCAAAATAAGGTCCGCTCGATAAGACCTAAGACACCAGTGTGGTACCGGCCGAAGGTTCTCCGATGCTTAAGTGATTACAGATTTAGTAAGAGATTTGAGCAGATGTAAAGCCAGTATGCCGAAAGTTTAGATCCTTCATTTTGGGGAATTGTGTTCCTTTCATAGACCTTGGGGGTGTGCAAGTTTTATAGAATTTCGATGTGGGACTGTAGACAATCATTATGGAGGCTTCACGTGTCTAGTGGGCGATTTTGTGCTTTTTCATTGCGATCGGTAGCTTGGATGTCGAGGGTTTCGCTGCCGATGCCATATTTTGTCAATGCGTCTTGTTCTTATTGGCCGCTGATTTTGGTATCAACAACACAAACAAAAAAGAAAGCAAGTCTCATCCATTTAATGTTATCATCTGAAGCTGCAGGTAGCGGGATGGTTATAGATGACCCAGTAGTACTCGAATGACTCAACCACGTCGGAATTTCAGTTTGACTAGTATGACGCTGAAAATGGCGGCCATCAGAAATTATACCCTGTAAATAGAAATTAAAAGAGGAAAATAATCAAAAATTGAAAGATGGTTCAAATGTGTGTGTGTGTGTGTGTGTGTGAGAGAGAGAGAGAGAGAGAGAGAGAGAGAGAGAGAGAGAGAGAGAGATCAAACCACTTTTGCATGTGTTGATGTACATGTTCATTCGATAAGGGGACTCCGAAGTTTTTGTGTTTCACCTTTTTGGTAATGGTGAAATCCACACTGTTGACTCATCATTTGGGAAAAATCTTCTTAGGAGAGGGCAGTCAAGAACTGATACTTATTGTAAACTTAATGGAAGTTTTGGCAATGATAGGAGCTTGCTACAATTATCCAATTTAAGTTCTTTAAGCTCAGTAAGTTGACAGATGCTTTATGGAATCCTCATAAAATTATTTCCACTCAAGTTTACACTGTTAAGTGAGGATAAGCAGCCAATGTCATCAGGTAGTGCTCCTTCAGAAAGATTGCAATAGCTTAGATCTAGTTTCCTCAAAGAGCATAAGCCTGAGAATGAAGTAGGAAGCTGCAAACTGATGGACTTCTGATGGCAACAAGCAACAACTAAAGAGCCAACCCCAAGGATTATGTGGCAGACCTCCACATTGAGCCAAAGATAGTACTTTAAGGTTTTTCAAAATCACAATGAAGGAAGGTACTTGTCTTATGCCACTTCTGCTTGCATCAAGCTCCACCAAGCTCTCTAAGCTCCCAAACCGTTTTGGCAACTCCTCGAGTTTAGAGCAGCCTGAGATGTTGAGAATTTGAAGTGATGTTAAAATACCAATGACACTTGGCAGACTCAAAAGGCTCTTGCCATCTTTGAGATTGAGCAAAATCAGGCCAGTCAAATACTTGATTGATGTTGGTAGCTCTATTATAGCTGTCTCATCTAAATGAAGTTTCGATAATTGTTTCATGGTCTCGTCAATCTCCGGAAACCTTTTGAGTTTGTAACATCCAGAAAGAATGAAAGTTTTGAGAGACCTTAGGCTGATCTTGTGGGGAAGACTACCAAGGTTTTGACAACCTTTAGGTTCAACAAAATGAATCTTTGGAGAGCTCCAACTGATGGGTGAACCTCAGACAATCTTTTACAACCTTTAAGAATTAACCTCTCAAGCTTTGGGATTTCAGTGAAATTAAGGGTCTTAGTCAAGTACTCGCAATCGCTAAGGTCCATGATCACCAACTTTTCTAAAGGCTTTAGACAAATAAAAGGTGCCATATAAATCAAAGAATGTATAATGAGCTCTTAGAACTTGAAATATAAATTTAGGCTCTATATAAAAAATGCACGTTCGTAATAAACGAAGAGAGTCTTACCTCCCTAATTTCGTTCCATAAGTTTTCTATTTTGCTCTGAGGCAAGTGCAGTTCAACCAGTTTTTTCGGATTAAAACTTGACAGTAACGATTTTAAAGGATATCCATACTAATCCAAGAGCTGTAGCTTATCTAAAAGAGATTCGTGGCATCCAGAAAAGTTGACGTTGAAGATCTTCAACAATCTTAAGTTGGACATCCTCACAAATGGATCAGTGGTCAAGTCTGTACTATCATATTGTTGAGGGGAGCTTAGGAAAATGCCTTCAACAAATTTTGTTCCCTAATAGCCAAAGGTCAACAGAATGATCAGGTGAGGTGCATGATATAACGTATACTACACTTGATCCTGATGTTAATATTCTAACAAAAAAACAGAATATCAAATCAATTTAGGAATAACGAGTTTGTCGCAACATGTTAATATCAAGTAGAAGCTAATTACAAATACATATAAAGAAAGATTGTAAATCTTCAATAGTTCATGTATTGATCACAAAATAGGGCAACAACTTGGGGGTGATCTATAGTTGACTCTAAAAACTAGTATTTACTCACTTTTTAAATTTTTTTTACTCACTCGTCTAGTGAACATGAACCATGTCAAAAGCTGAAGCGAATATGAAACTAATTAGGCATTAGATTCAAATGTTGGTTTATGAAAAACTTTTAATGATTAGTTTTATGGAAATTGTATATTTACAGTATTAGTAGTACAAGTGGAGTCACAAATTATGAATAATTAAGGAGTGTATTATTGTACTAAGCTTCAATTACCTCATTCTTGCTAAGTACTTCAACGGCATCTTCATGAAGCCACAACCGGCTGCGTTTTCCTAGCTCTTGCTGAGATTGTTTGCGGACAATATCCTTGCCCATTTCTTGTAGTAATGATGCATCCACAACTTTTCTCCAAAAATCGTTAAGTAAAGATTTCTCAAGGAGGATTCTTATACGTATATCCGGATAGTAATCATAGCTTTCAAATATCCTTTTCACACACTTTACACTCTCTCCTTTAAAGAAGCATGCAATGTCCAGAAATATATCCTTCTCGTCCGTAGATGCTAATCCACCAAATCCTACTCTCAACATATGAAGAAGTTGTTCACCAGGATTCTTTTTTAATCTGTCCAGTTCACTACACCATTCAGTTAAACTTCTCCTGAATACAAAGGAGCCGAAAACTGTAAGAGCCAAAGGAAGACCACCAGTGTAATCTACAAACTGGTAGGACAAATCAACATACTCATTAAGAGGACGGTCTCTGCCAAAGGCTCTTCGAGAAAAAAGTATGAGAGCTTCATCAAAGTTAAGTTTTCCAACGATGTGTATTTTTGGCTCATATGCTTTTAGCAGGCTTTTGTCTTTTGGGGTTACAATATTCTGCTACCTTGACCAAACCGATCATACAATCCTCTGGCACCACATCCAACTATAGCTTCAATTTGTTTTAAATTATCGATGTCTTCGAGAGCGATAAGCACCCTCTTGTGACTCAATAGTCTACTTCTTACCCCATTAACATCCTCTACTTACTTTGGTATTGGACAGGTTAGGTTACCATAAAGTTTCTTTTGCACAAAAGGCAAAATTTTCCATTCAGACATCTCTCGAACATCATGGATGAAACAACTAGCTTCAAATTTATTATGAATTCTTTCAAAAAGAACTTGTACGATGGTTGTCTTACCTATTCCGACATCCCACAAATCCCGATCACAGTAGCTTCATGTTCACCCAACCCTCTACTCATGTCCAATTCAATTTTGTTTACACGATACATTCCAACAAAGTCCTTGAAATCACTAGTTGAGAGTGTGTGTGTGATTCAATTTTCTTGAGATATTTTGGACTATTTCATCAATAACTTTTGCCTCTACCTGCAAAAAGGGTAGAACATGAATGTCTTACTTATTCCAGTCCATCAAAAGTAAACAAAAAAACCAAGGTGCATGGAGATTGTAAGTATATATAGTATGATAGGAGAACTACAAAGCCATTCAGCCTTATGTGATAGGAGAAACTATCACATTTACGTGTCTGTCCTTCATATGCGATAAGTCTTCCTTGTTAGTTTTTTACTTGAGAAAGAATTCCCTAACTTTTAAAACATTACTAGTCGACTGTGACTACAGAAAGACATCATAAGCATGGTTCAACTTAATGTACAGCAATATTACATTCCAGCCATGTTACTAGATGTGTTTAATCTCTTAATAAAATACCATGCAATCTCAATTATCTGTTATAAATGCGATAATTTCTCAACTCATGTGAACCCTTCCACTGCCAGCTTGCAAAACTCAGACAGCATGTATATATTTTCATAAACAAATATGTTTAGGTTGAACTAATATAGCTAAAGCAAATATTCTTAGAACATAACACCTGATAAATCAAATGAGACAGAGGAATAATTTCAGATGAAAAAATTACCTGTCTTTTATATCTCATCCGAAGATGCTGCCTACTTGAGCAAAAGCCTCCCTCCACTTTTTTATCCTTTCTCCTCCATCTTTGAGAACTTGTTCATGTTTAGCAAAAGCCTTCTCAAAATCTCCACCATGCTTTCTTACATGGGTTGGTTCCACGTCATAGAACACAAGCAAAACTGTTAGTCCAGACACAGTCATGCACAAGAATCTTCGCAAGCTCATCCAAACACCATGTCGAAGAAGCATAGTTTATTGAAAGAATAACTACGGAAATACTGGACTCGTCAATGGCTTTCAAGAGTTCTGGTGAAATGGATTTTCCCCTCTCAAGTTCTTCATCATCCATGGAAGTGTATATTCCTTTTCGATTCAAAGCAGCGTATAAATGGCCAGTAAAACTTTTGCGGGTGTCCTCACCTTTAAAACTCAAGAAAACTTCATACATTCGTGGAGGGATTTGAGGAGGAGGAAGAGGAAAACTTGATGAGGAGATTTGGGTGGTCGTTAATGCAATTGGTAATATTGCAGATTTAGCAAGTTAATAAAATGTTGCAGAAGCAGCTGGGAGTTTGAGAACTAGACTTGATAAACCATAAGCTTTGGAGGAAGAGAATATATACACACTTGTTGAAGTTTTCGATTACTGAGAGAGCTGGGAAGGTATATATATATATATATAGAGAGAGAGAGAGAGAGAGAATGAGCTCAGAAGAGAATAGAAAATTCCTCACTGCTACGTTCTTTCCGTTGCAGAGGTCATGCTTTTCATTCATTGCAATTCTCACTTCTTACATCATAAATCATCACCAATCAAAAACACGGCCATTGTGATTATAACACTTGGCAGTACAAGGCATGTTAGCCGTTGGTAAATAACAACCTGATCTAAGACCTTACGCTTGGCAATATGAGCTCAAGTCATCATAACTAACACTTAGCTAAAATAAAGAGAAGTAAAGTTTAAGTAAATCATTTACTAATATGAAATTAGTAAGCAATTTACTCTTCAACACTCCCTTCTAAATTGCTAACTGATTTCACACCAAGCATACTTCTCAAATAACTGAATCTGTCCTTGGGAAAAGCTTTGGTGAAGACGTCAACTATATGTTCTTCACCTTTGCAGTAGAGCAATTCAATCACACCGTCTTGAATTGCATCTCTAATAAAATGAAACTTCCTGTTAATGTGCTTGCTCCTTTGATGAAACACTGGATTTTTAGGCATTGCTATGGCTAAAGTGTTATCACAAAATACAGTAGTTGCAGCAGTTTGTTCTTCTCCAAAATCTTCAAGTACAAATCTGAGCCAAATGGCCTGTGATGTAGCTTCCGCTGCACTCACATACTGTGCCTCTGCTGTAGAAAGAGCCACACTATGCTGCTTAACTGAAGCCCATGAGAATGCTCCACTTCCAAATGAAAATGCATAACTTGAAGTGCTTTTCATATATTCCTTAGATCCACTCCAGTCACTGTCACAATATCCAATCAACAAAGCAGATTTTCCAGTCACATACTCAATTCCAAAATCAATCGTTCCCTGAATTTATCTTAGAACCCTTTTAGCAGCTCCATAGTGTTTCTTAGAAGGGTTGTGCATGTATCTGGCAAGCAGACTAGCATGAAACATGATGTCAGTTCTGGTTGTAGTTAGATATAAAAGACTTCCAACAATCTCCTGTATAAACCTTCATCTGCATTCTCACTTCTATATTCTCTTTGCAACTTATCAGTAGCAACTAAAAGCGTGCTTACTGATTTGCAATATTTGAGCCCAAATTTATCCAAGAGAGTGAAAGCATACTTCTTTTGATGGATAAAGATGCTCCCTTCAGTTTGAGTTACTCCCATTCTAAGAAAGTGATGGAGTAGACCCAAGTCTAACATCTCATACTTGCACAGCATCTCAGTTTTGAACTCTTTCATCATATCTCCACTACTTCCTGTGTAGACTATGTCATCTACATAGATTGATACAGTCAGGGTACCAACTCCTTCTTTCTTCCTCACATATAGAGTTGCTTCACTTGAGCTTATATGAAAACCACAGTGAATGAGATAGGTATCAATCTCACTATACCAGGCCCTTGGTGCTTGTTTTAGACCATAAAGAGCCTTTCTTATTCTATACACTTTGTCTATAGCTTCTTTAACCACAAAACCATCCGGTTGATCAACATAAAGTTCTTTTTCAAGAATACCATTCAAGAAAGCTGATTTGACATCCAAATGCCACAGATTCTAGCCTTTCTGTGCAGCTAGTGCAATAAGGGTCCTAATAGTATCCAACCTTGCCACAGGAGCAAAGGTTTCATTGTAGTCAACTCCTGGTTTTTGTGTGTAACCTTTGGCTACAAGTCTGGCTTTGTGTTTTTGAATGGAACCATCAAGGTTCAGCTTGGTTTTGTAGACCCACAATTGGTTTGTTGCTTGGTCTATCAACCAATTCCCAAGTGGAATTCATCTCTATCATCAACATTTCTTCTGTCATAGCCTTTTTCCAGGCTTTATCCTTAACTGCTTTAGTAAAATTTTCAAGTTCAATAATGCTCATCTTGCATTGAGCATACACCTCATCCAAACTTTTCCATTTCCTTAGAGTATGGTCATAAGTTTCAGAGGTTGAAACTAATGAATCAGGTGGAACTGAATCCATAGTTTCTTGCAGGTCATTGAAAACTTATGTTCTTAGAGGAGATTGCACAGACTGAGGTGAGTCACTTGCTTCTAAATCAAACTCAGATGTCATTGAGCTTTGTTCATCATTCCAAGGAATTATAACCTCCACTTGTATTGCCTCATTTGATTCCCAATCCCACATGGCTTTCTCATAAAACATAACACTCCTAGACAGTTCAATCTTTTGAGTTCTCAAATTGAATACTCTATATCCTTTTTCACAAATTCCATAACCTACAAATACTCCCTTCTCACCAGTTTCCTCTAGGTTGTGCCTTTTCTGTGAAGGGATGTGAATGTAGCATAGAGAGCCAAAGATTCTCAAGTGTTTGACACCTGGTTTCCTTCCACTAAACTTCTCAAATGGTGTTGTGTTGTCCAAAGCACTTGTTGGACTTTGATTCTGCAGACAAACAGTTGTATTCACAGCTTTTACCCAAAACTTCAATGGAATCTTCTTCTCATGCATCATTATTCTTGCCATTTCTACCACTATACGATTCTTTCTCTCTGCAACACCATTCTGTTGTGGAGAGTAAGCTACAGTCAATTACTTTTCTAAACCCATCTCTTCACAAAAATTTGAAAATCCCAAGGAAGTATACTTTGCACCCCTGTCACTTCTGAGTTTCTTGATTTTGTAGCCACTTTGAAGTTCAACCATGGACTTGAATCTTTTAAAAATATTGAAGACGTGTGACTTGTGCTGCAAGAAGAATACCCAACATATTCTAGTGTGATCATCTATAAAGGTGAGAAAGAATCTGTTGCCTGCAGGAGTAGTAATCTGCATTGGACCACAGATGTCAGAGTGTATTAGTTCTAAGGGCTGTGATGCTGTCCAAACTTTCTCCTTGTCAAAAGGTTCTCTGTGACCTTTTCCTATAACACAACCAGAGCACACATGCTTTGTGACTTGTAATCTAGGCAGACCTTGCACCATTTCTTTGTCTTGCAGGAGCATCAAACTAGTATAGTTTAGATGTCCATACCTTTTATGCCACAACCAAGATGACTCCTCAACTGTTACTTTATTAGCCATAGAAGGTTTGACATATTCTAGGCTTAAAAGAAAACATCTATTTCCCTTCATTGGTACACATGCAATCAAATCCTGCATCTGCCTATCCCCATAAATATCAACCACATTATCACCTAAGACAAGCCAATATCCATGTTCTACCATTTGACCTACACTTAACAGGTTCTCATCCAAACCAGGAACAATCATAACTTCCTTAATGTATCTGGTTACACCCTGCATTTCTATGACCAAAGTGCCTTTGCCAGTTGACTGTACCAAATCACCAGTACCCATTTTGACTCTACATTTCACATTCTTATCAATGTTCACAAGCAAAGACTCATGAGAGGCCATATGATTACTACATGCACTGTCAACATACCACATATTCATATTCTTTCCAATAGTAGCAGAATGACAGGCATAAAAATTGTTGCAGGTTTTGTTACCTGATTAGCGAGATTTGCTACTTTTCTAGCCTTGTTTGCTAGATCACATTCCTTAATGTAGTGACCAAATCGATTGCAACCATAGCATTTTGGCTTCATTTTAAACCAACACTCTCCATAGTGTAGTTTATCATAATGCTTGCATTTTCCCTTAGCCTGATCTGATTTTCTTCCTTGATTGACATAGGTATGAGGTTTAGAATCCCATTTCTTACCCTTTGATTTCCAGTTCTTCTTTGGCTTAGCATGACCCGAAGAAGAACTTGACTGGTTTCCCTTCTGATTCACACTCATACTACTGAAAGCTCTTTCAGTGGTACTCTCAGCATGCCTATCAAGCCTTTGAGCAAAACCTCTTAGTGCAGCAATGACTTCTTGCACCTCAATAGTTTTAATGTCTTTAGTTTGCTCAATTACATAACACATTGGATCAAACTCTTTGGTCAGAATTATAAGCAATTTCTAAACCAGTCTTCCTCCTGATAAATCTTCTCCATACCCCTTCATTTGATTCACCAACTCAAGCAAACGAGTGAGATACACATACAAGGTTTCATCATCCTTCATTCTTGTGTACTCAAAATCTCGAAGCAAATCCTATAGCTTAATAGATCTCACTTGCTTATCACCATGAAACTCTTGATGTAAAACATCCCAAGCACCTTTTGAGGTTTCTTCGTTTGAGATTCTGGGGAAAACGTCATCTGAGACAGCTCCTTGGATAATACCAAGTGCCTTAGCATCCTTCATTAACAAAGACACCTTCTCTGACTCCGATGACCCTTCTTCATCAACCTTCTTCCCTTTCGATTCTGAAATCCCAAGACCCTTTTCAACTAGATCCCAGATTCCATGCGACTTAAAGATAGTTCTCATTCGGATCTTCCAAAATTCATAGTTATCACCATTGAATATTGGAGCTTGAAGATCACTACCACATGACCCAGCCATTTGAGACCGGAATTGATGAACTGAGTCGGAAATTTCTCGTTGGATTTTCCAAGCTCAGCTCACACAGCTTCAACGCCCACTATCCAGATCCAACCTTCGCTCTTGATACCACGTTGAAGTTTTGGATTACTAAGGGAGCTGGGAACGTACACACACAGAGAGAGAGAGAGAGAGAGAGAGAGAGAGAGAGAGAGAGAGAGAGAGAGAGAGAGAGAGAGAGAGAGAGAGGGAGTGAGTGAGCTCAGAAGAGAATAGAAAATTCCTCACTACTACATTCTTTCCGTTGCAGAGGTCATGCTTTTCATTCATTGCAATTCTCACTTCTTACATCAGAAATCAT